CACAGGAAGGGAGTTTCACGACGTTTGCACGATCCACAAACCCTCGCCTTGACAGTGCTGGATTACAGGCGCTGTAGATTCCTGAAGCTTTCAAGGACTGGAGAGTTTATGAGTTCAGCTGCAATCTCACTGGGCAGCCTGTCACAGCAATCTGTTAGCTGGGTTAGATGCTCTGTTGATTCCCTTACTCTGTGCCCTTATTTTCTGTGCCTAGTCTCTCCAGATCGCTTGTGTTTTCACCATCACTACCTTTCACTCCTGCCCCAGTCCAATTATGCCCCTTGCCCTACCCACTTCCTCCCCTTGCCCCACCCACTTCCTCCCCTTGCCCCACCCACATCCTCCCTTTGCCCACCCACTTCCTCCCCTTGCCCCACCCACTTCCTCTCTTTGCCCCACCCACTTCCTCCCTTTGCCCCACCCACTTCCTCCCTTTGCCCCACCCACTTTCCCCTTTGCCCCACCCACTTCCTCCCCTTGCCCCACCCACTTCCCCCTTTGCCCCCACCCACTTCCTCCCCTTGCCCCACCCACTTTCCCCTTTGCCCAACCCACCTTCCTCCCCCTTGCCCCACCCACTTTCCCCTTTGCCCAACCCACTTCCTCCCCTTGCCCCACCACTTCCTCCCTTTGCCCAACCCACTTTTTCCCCTTGTCCCACCCACTTTCCCCTTTGCCCCACCCACTTACCCCCTTGCCCCACCCACTTACCCCCTTGCCCCACCCACTTCCTCCCCTTTGCCCCACCCACTTTGCCCCACCCACTTACCCTCTTGCCTCACCCACTTCCTCCCCTTTTCCCCACTCACTTCCCAGAAGCCTTGCCATACCGACTTCCCCCCCCCCCATTTGCCCCATTCACTTCCTCCACTAGCCCCACCCACTTCCTCCCTTTGCCCAACCCACTTCCCTTGCCCCACCCACTTTCCCATTTGCCCACCCACTTACCCCGTTGCCTCACCCACTCCCCCCCTTCGCCCCACCCACTTCCTCCCTTTGCCCCACCCACTTCCTCCCCTTGCCCCACCCACTTCCCCTTTGCCCCACCCACTTACCCCCCTTGCCCCACCCACTTACCCCCTTGCCTCACCCACTCCCCCCCTTCGCCCCACCCACTCCCCCCCTCTTCCCCCACCCACTTCCACCGGGCGTTCCCCTGTAATATGATTGAATTCCACCTCCCCTTGCATGCCGGTACCACGTGTTCGTTGCACTGCCAATCGCTCCTCAAATCCTGCTTTGTGAAGAGTCATAGGTCATTGGTCACCCCACCAAGCTGAGGAGTTCCACACAGGCGTGTACAGATTTGGTGTGAAATGTCCCACTGTAAAAATATCAAATTCACCAAAAAGGTATTCTGATATGGCTGCACATGTGGTGGTGTGTGCAGACATCCGCACGCTAGTATAGCGAGGGTCCTCGATATTCCCTGATTTGTGAAATAAAATAATCTGTCGATGCACAATGACACCTTCTTTGCCGCTGTGACTGGTAAACACGCGCCACGATTGCCGTACATACCTCGCATAAATAACTTAAATTACACACGTATGAATACATGAATGCATACCACGAATTGGGCTTACTTAGGAGAAAACTCGTGCACTGGTGATATAAGTGCACTGCACACAGGTAGTACACCTTTACGTAACTTCATTCCAGAAAAATATCTTCAACCGGGCAGTTGTAATCCATGCAGTCGTGGTTAAAACTGCTGAAAAGCTTTCCTGCAACACAAAGCAAAGACAAGCACACAATTAAGTCTTTGGCGATACAAGTGATGAACAATTTCAACGTGCAACACTGTGCCGCCACCGCCGCACAACGCTCGCTCGCGTAGAGAGCGGACCGACTCAGAGATGCAGGAGGAGCCACGAAGAGCGGGGGGGGGCGCTACAGGGTAAGCCGGCTCTGAATACCTCCCCAAATCCCTGGTGCCCTCCGTATAATGAGAAGGTGTAATCTGCGCGGGTAGAAAACCCACGCGGTGCGAGGGAGCAACGCTCGATACCGTACCCGTGGAACAAGTGGAGTCGCACGTTTTTTTTTTTAAATCTCCCCTCCCCGAGCGAGCCAGGGTGTTGGGCTCGTCCTCGACGCTCGCGGGAAAGGGAGTTTCACAACATCGGTGTGCAGCGGTGGTCCACCAACCCCACCCCCCACCTCGCTGCTGCCTGCCTCCATCCACAGTGCCGGATCACAGACAGCCACGTGCAGCAAAGCCACCACCGATCAGCCCCGTTCTCTCTCTTACGACGCGCGCAATTAACAATTCCACCGCTGGAACGGTTTTTTTTTTTTACGAAGAGAGAAAACATTAAACTGTTAGAATACTCGATTTAAAGCTTTCGTGACTGCAGGGATTCATCTTCTTGGTTCTTCGGTAAAGTCACGTAGAAGGGAAATAATAAAATAATAAAATTCCTATTGATATGCAAATTATTTTGTCAAGGCGCCCTTCCCCCCTTCCAACCCAGCTTAAATATACGCTCCAAGCGTGGTGGTGTTTCATTCAGACGCTGTCTCCCCGACAGACCTGGTCTTCACCTGAGGACGGCTGCTTGCGTTGTGGCCGAAACGTTCTGAGAATTATTTTATTGTTTTATTTTTTATTTTATTATTTACCTTCTACGTGACTTTACCGAAAGAACCAAGAAGATGTTAGAATACTACGCAAGAAATAGGCGCCGTGAGTATTTTTAAATCCTTTATATTAAGTCACTTGCTTGCTTGCTTGCGCGCTTACGACCGTGCAAATCTTTCGGTCGTATTTTAACCCACTTCTCGTGATCCAATCGAGCTGACCATTTTTGCACACAGACTCGATGTGCGTGACAATTTATTTTCGTGAAAAAATGTTTCCAAATTTTCCACTTTTTAGGAATTTTTTTCTTCATATTTCATTTAAATACCAATGTGATAAAATGAAACTCTTACTCAAGAAAAACAGAAATGAATAATAAAATAAAACCGATGCCAAGCATATAAAGGATTTCTAGTGAAAACTTTGTTTTTTACGGGTGAATTTTTTCCGAGTTAAAATGTTGAGGCATGGGCTGCCGCCTTAACAAAATAGCACCGCCTCGTGTCGTCAAGGGGCATTAACATTCACAAGGCTCGTCTGAGCAAAGAGACACGACGACGCGTGACATTTAACAGCACGTGGCAGCTGTTCCTCTGGAGGTCTTGACATATACAGAGAGGACGTTTTTAGGTGATTACACTGAAGGACTGCATGGAAATACAAGCGTATGAAAAAATAAGAATCTGGGTTTTACTCCTTCTCGCAATAAAAACGGGAAGGTGTTAAGATGTTCGGACACCACATAGATATCCTTTTGCAAGGAATCAAGTCCGCATAACCACGCGTGCTTGTGGTAAACATACCCACTCTGATAGTGTATATGCATTGTCTGTGAAAGTGGCCTACATCAGAGACTACAGCCTTGTTCTGTATGGCGTTGTCTCACCCACCAGTGTCAGAACAGACATCAACGCCAAAGGTGAACAGCCCAAAGACAAAGCACCGTGTCAGAGCATTGATATAATCGGGTGAACAAACTATATCATGGGACCTGTTTGCCAATGATCAAAGTATGAAAAAATAAGAATAAGTTTAACCATTTCTGGCAGTTAAACAGGTGTTAAGACGTTCAAACACCAAATAGATACCAATTGCAAGGAATCACGTTTGCATTAACCACACAGAGTACTTGTCGTGAACATGCAACCAAACTCTGGTAATATATGCATTGTCTTTGAAACCGCTACATGAACCTATTATTTTTCATACTCTCATACGGGCAAAAATGGTCCGATGATAAATACAAGCGTCTTCAACGTTTGTAAACAAGCACACGGTTTAAGGGCGCTTGATACATTGAAATAACTATTAACGTAACAACACAATGCTGAACGGCTTTATTTACTGCAATTTAATAAATCTTATTTTCTTTTCCTTATCAAACATAACATTGAGACCATTCACATCAATGGTGAAGACCCCGGGGCCAGCCCCAGGACATGCTGGCGGGGACGATGTCGCTCGGCTGGCCTGGGAACGCCTGGGAATTCTCCAGGAAGAGCTGGAGTCTGTGTATAGTAGTTGTATCGTGTAGTGTAGTAGTGTATAGTGTAGTAGTGTATAGTGTAGATATATAGTAGTGGTAGTGTAGTAGTGTAGAGTAAGTACAGTAGTGTATAGCAGTGTAGTGTATAGTAGTGTATAGTGTAGTGTATAGTGTAGTAGTGTATAGTGAGTGTATAGTAGTGTATAGTGTAGTGTAGTAGTGTATAGTAGTGTATAGTGTATTAGTGTATAGTAGTTGTATAAGTAGTAGTGTAAAGTAGTGTCGTGTATAGTGTAGTGTAGTTGTGTATAGTAGTGTATAGTGTAGTGTATAGTGTAGTGTCTAGTAGTGTATAGTGTAGTGTACAGTAGTATAGTAGTACATGGTTTCTGAGTGTATAGTGTAGTGTATAGTATAGTAGTGTATAGTGTAGTATAATGTGGTAGTGTAGTGTAGTAGGTATAGTAATGTACAGTAGTGTATAGGTAGTGTAGTAGTGTATAGTGTAGTGTGATAGTGTGTACGTATAGTAGTGTATAGTGTAGTAGTGTAAGTAGTGTAGTGTATAGTGTAGTAGTGTATAGTGTAGTAGTGTATAGTAGTGTATAGTAGTGTCCTGTATAGTGTACTGTATAGTAGTGTATAGTGTAGTAGTGTAAAGTAGTGTAGGTATAGTATAGTAGTGTATAGTGTAATGTATAGTAGTGTAGTATAGTGTAGTATAGCGCTGCTGGATTCCAAGGTGACCACGTTTCGAAGCCCCTTCCGCAGCCGATGACTGCCCCAGGTCGCCCTCCGCAAACGAGACCCATCCTTTGCCTCTCGACGTTTCACCCCTTGCAACTCAACGAACTCCGATGAGAGGCCTGCGACGCAGAGTGCAGTGTGTTATGTCTCTTACCCGAAGCACTCTGCGATGGGCTTGGTAGAACTGAGTGGAGAGGAGCACGTGGCAGGCAAAACTGCCGTCCGTTGGGTGCTTGCAGATGAACCCAAAGTAGCTGCGCAAGGAAACGCAACACAAAGCTGCGGTACAGTTCAATTCCTTTGCGCGCATTTTTCCCAGCGATCAATCGAAAGACGACCGCGTGATTAATTTCATCAATCACGTGTCAGCCGGTAGCATTCTCTTTAACAATCATCCTTGAAATGTGTGGCACTTCGCAATCGTCTCGTGCCAATATTCCGCGTTCAGCTTCGCAACGAAAAACTGACGCCAACCACTCCACGTTTTGGCCTCTGACACATGAAAGGATTCCCCCCCCCTACGCGGTTTCCCTGGAAATTGACAAGCAGCAATGCCAACACAAAAGATAAAGATCCCCCCCCCCATAGCCCTTACAGACTGTTGGGGCAAGTGCTGTTAGAGAGTAACACCTATGAGGGTTGGCACAGCACATGAGGTGGGTGGGTGGCCAGCATAACGCCCGGTCGCCTTTGTCTCCCGAGTGGCCATGTTTACACATTGGCGCTCATTTGAGCCTTAGCCGACTTAGGGGATGCCCAGCACCGGTTCAAATAATCATCAGCGGTGTTGGCCGTGAAAGCCCTCTATCACAATCTAGATATTGTCAGGGCTATGCATGTGCACACGTACACCTGCTTACCATGGGTTTTTGGGGTGGAAACCACAGAAAGAAATATTCTTCAGCTGGAAAAAGTGGCTGAAGTTCTTGATCTGCAAGGGACACGCACGCCGCGTGAGTCTATCGCGTGCAAGCAAAACACCAACAATGTTTGGGGTCGGATCGCCGCGCGAGTATAAAATGTCGCGTCGTGCACCCCTCCTCCACCCCGACACGGCCGGCGAATGAAGTCGTCAAGCGGCGAACGAATGAGCGAACGCGGCCTATTTAACGCGTCGCAAGGCTTTCGCGACCGGTATTTATTCGTTATGCTCTCAACGCACGTCGATTCTAAATGTGGAGGGGAAAACCGGAGGACCCAGATTAAAATACATGCGACCACCGAAAGAGAGAGACACGCAAACTGCAAATATACAGCAGCAGGCGTCAGGGTCGGGATCGAACCCACGATCTTCTGTAGACCAGGCGAGGTAGTCAACATCTCACCACGGAGAGAGAGAGACACGCAAACTCCAAATATACAGCAGCAGGTCTCAGGGTTGGGATTGAACCCACGACCTCCTGTATACCGGTCGAGGTAGTTAACATCTCCTAGCCACCGTGGTGGCGACCGCCTGTGTTCGATGACGATGATCACCGCACCGAGACAGCCTCCCTGCCGTTCGCCGTGAGCGATGAAATCGAGCCGCTACTTGGCCACGCTGCGCGCCGCGTCGAGGTGAAGGACCGCCGGGCGTCCTTTTACCGGCTTGTGTTTGTGGAAGCCGTTGCGCTGCGGGGCCGGCGCGTGCCGGGCGCCGGTCACCGTGAGGCGGAGCCCTCGCGCGCCCACCTCCAACGAACACGGCAACGTCGGCTTGAGTCCGGCGACCGCGCGACGGCTGGAAGCCACCTGGCGGTCGTCAGAGAGAGGTCCAAAACGGGAGGCCACAAGATACGACGTTGGTAGCAACCGGCATGCCATAGGGTGGGTTTTTGGAATGTTAACGATGGGAGTATTTTCTTCTTCTTGGTTCTTTCGGTAAAGTCACGTAGATGGGAAGTAATAAAATAATAAAAATAAAACTACATAAAATAATTCTCACGACGTTTCGGCCACAACGCAAGCAGCCGTCATCAGGTGAAGAACATGTCTGTCATTCAGACTCTGTCTTCTCGACAGACCTGTTCTCCACCTGAGGACGGCTGCTTGCGTTGTGGCCGAAACGTCGTGAGAATTATTTTATGATGTTTTATTTTTATAATTTTATTACTTCCCTTCTACGTGACTTTACCGAAAGAACCAAGAAGATGAATCCCTGCAGTCACGAAAGTTTTAAATCGAAATTTATTTTATTATTTTATTATTTACATTCTACGTGACTTTACCGAAAGAACCAAAAAGATGAATTCCTGCAGTCACGAAAGCTTTAAATCGATGGGAGTTTTGTTACAAACTATTTAT